GTGATGCCAGTATTCTGGGTTAGAGGATGGAGCCGGAGCTGAGCCCTGAAAGTGGCAACAGAGGATGGCCAAGTGCCCACACACACACACACACACACACACAATGGGAGGAAGATGGAGAGGCTATAAATATACGCAGTAATAAGAGGGTGGTGTCTCTGTCATTCTCATGCCCTGTTGCCGTTAGCCACACCATCTCTTTCTCCTGACCTCTTGACTGTCGCTTTTCACTCGCAGACCCAAACAAACACGTTTTGATGCGTTGTCAATTCAGGTCGCTCCACGCATTAGCTGCTAAAGCTTTCACAGGCACTTAAAATATGAAAGCGTTTGATAAAATGTCATAAATGCTTTAAATCCAAAGGGTGGACAAGTACATTCTCCCAACGCTTGGATCCTGAACACAGTAGCCAAATGACTACTAACCAGATGGCTGTTAATTCTGATGTTTATGGTCCCTGGCAGGTGATTCCTTGTGATTTCGATGACGCCCAGACCTTATGTTTTGCACCTCCAACAGGCCAAATGTACACTTATATACAATTTTTTTGTCTTAAAGGGATAGGATCTGTTCTTAGTTTTCCCAGTATGCTTGGCATGGGTGTGTATCATGATCAGAGAAAAACAATGTGAGTTGTGGAAGGCTCCTCAAAGAATAAAAGTAGCAATGCTCTTTATTCCCTCCATCCGTTACCTTTTTAATCGATGGTGTAGTGAACGTTAAGGAGCTGTTAATGTTTCGTTACACATTATTTGACACTGCTCCCGTTAGTTAATTTGGTGATTGCAAATGTAGGTCAGTTGGTCAACTGGCGTGCAGTCGGCTCAAATAGATACCTTTACCCAGAGTGCGCTGAGTCAATTTGGTGTTAAAAGGTTGTCTGTGCAGCGGATTCACTCTCTGAGAGTACGCCTGTGTGTTCTGTGTACAGATCAGACCTCATTCAACGGTCGTGCTAATCATTAATATGAAGGGAAAGCATTTCTATGATCTCTGTTGGATATATTTAAAAAATTTGGTCCGACTGTAAATTCTATTTTCCAGGATTGTTTATCAACTGTAAAGGAATTACTGTATGCAATAACGCTGCTGGTGGTTTATTTCTAGGAATTTGGTGGCATTGTGTTCCAATCAGCTTGAGATTAACAAGATTTGACAAAGCTGACAGCCTAAAAAAGCACAAACTCTCTCTCTCTCTCTCTCTCTCTTGAAAAAAAAAAAAAACGCTTCCCATATCCCCAGAGGGCACTTTGATTCCCTCTATCCTCCTGCCAGCTCACTTCATGCCTCGCTCTGCTCTCATTGATGTGAAAATCGTTCTACAGATACAGGAATATCAATGTCTATGCGTGTGCCTGTTCGCTAGCTCCACGCACCTGCTCATTTGCGTGTGTGTGTGTGTGTGTGTTTTTATTATTTTATTTTAATGCTTTATCCCTCCTCGTCCGCTGAACCGCCCGTCTGAACTACATCTGAGCACCAGTGCAGCCGGGACACATCACATAGATGAAAGGAACAGAGGCTTTTTTTTTTTTTATGTACACAGCACATTTAAATTGTATGAGCTTGTTATTGTGCCGTGACTTAGCCGTGGAAGGCTAATTGAAAAATAGGGCTAAATACACGGTTTGTTTTGCAGTGTGTGAGGCACCAACACGTGGCGAAACCTTGCTCTGAGATGTGGATTCTTTTCATTTTCTCACTGTTTGATATCTTCTGATTAAAGCGACAAAATTAGCCGTCGATACTGTTAATTAAATTATCCAAACGCACGACACCAAATGTTGATTCCCTTGCCCCCAGTGTTTTCTATTTTGTCGCTGTGTTATAATGTGATGAGCGTAATCTTGCCTGATGAAGACGTCTAAAGGAATCATCGGCCTCACAAAAGACAGATTAAGCCCCCAGAGGAAGATGTGGGTGATTGTGTGGGACTGCCGTATCCATACTCTCCCCGCTACCAATCTCATCTCGGCATGGCCTCGTTTTCACCGCGGAGCATCGGAGATTTACAATAAACCGACCAAAAGAACCAGAAAAAAAAAAAAGAGTCTAAAATCACTTTACGGTCCTGAGTGGCCCGAACTCATGAGAGACCAAAGCCTGCGTATCCATGACAACGCTAAGATGGGATCCACTCTTAGCCATTGACTCCTCTCAGTCAGCGCTGAGTGCTGAGGGAGGAAGTAGAGATAAGGAGAGATTCAATTCAATTTGCTGTGAACGGCTGCTTGCCCCTCATGTAAATGGAATAAGTAGGTTACACTCAGAGCTGCACGGGAGTGAAGCACAGGAGAGCAGAGGGGAGGGCGAGAATTACGTCGTCGTGGTTAACTCGCCTTTCGGTCCCCAGAGATGCGATGAGAACTCTCGTGCTCTCTCCTTTTCTCTTTTTAATTTTGTCATTTCAACCACTTTTCCACCCCTTTGAGGAGTCTTCAGGAAGAAAAAAAACCATCCCTCCTCCGCCTCCACCTCCTTGACGGCTCGCCTGTTTGATAAAGAATTCTCCAAAGAGTGTTTGCTATTGATCCTGTGCCAGCTGATTTTGATTCCTGTTTTGACTCGGACTACGTTGTTTAATGCTACGGCTTCCTGTGACTATGAACATGGCGTAGGAATTTATCTGCCAGAGCACGCTACAAATGGACAGTAAGATTTAGTGGAGCCCACACATGTTGTACAACTCCCGCTGAACACCTGTAGGCTGGAGGCTCAGTTTATAGCAGTGCCTAATGTTACCTAAGGAGGGAGGAGCAGGTGTGTTCGTTGTGGGATTTCTATCCCAGTCATGTTGACCCTGCTTAAATCAATAGCCATTTCCATCTCTGTCTTGTTAGGCGGACAGAAATAATCCCTTTCGTACACTCTTCTGCACAATGTCTACATAAAGGTGGTGCACTTATGTCTCAGAGTCAGGCGCCTGTTGTTTGGTAGATATCTAAGATTCATCTTTTTCCTATTATGCTGCCATATGAAGCGTAACAAGTTATTAAAGCGTTATGAGCATATATTTAGACAATGCAAGTGACCAGTATTACAGCAGCTTTGCTTAAACTGTTAGAATAAACTGAGCTGAAATGTAAACATTGAGGGAGAATCCAGAGGCACAGTTTGTCGAATAGACCTCAAACAATTCTGCAGCACAGAGTGGTCTGGCTGACAAATTACAGTTGTTCTGGGTGGGGCTAAGCGAAGGATGTAGCTTCGTGTTCTCTCAAAATTATGATAGAGCAATTGTTTTGGTGGAACATTTGCATGCCGGGTCTGACAGAAAAGTCGAAGGGAAGGCGAAAATTATGCTGTCATGGTTAAGTGGCCTTTCGGTCCCCAGAGACGTGTTGTCTGGTCTAGAATCAGAACGGGCACTTGCATGGCTCTAGTGAGTCAGACCAGGCATGACTCATTATTGGATCCAATATTCAACCCATGAAGCTGATGGATAAAAATGTTGAAAAGTTGCCTTTAAATTAAACATATGTAAAACATAAACAAAGTTTTGTGTTGGCAACAATACTATTCTAAATTTACGCAAGATTTTCATTTTTATTGTGTATGTCTGGAGCTGCTGCAAGGTGGCAGTTGGTAGCACTGTTGCCTCGCAGCAAGAAGGTTGCCGGTTCGCGTCCCGCTGGGGGCACCGGAATCCTTCTGTGTGGAGTTTGCATGTTCTCCCCGTGCAGCGTGGGTTCTCTCCGGGCTCTCCGGCTTCCTCCCACACAGTCCAAAAACATGTTGAGGTTAATTGGTGATTCTAAATTGTCCGTAGGTGTGACTGTGAGTGTGCTTGGTTGTCTGTCTCTAAGTGTGGCCCTGTGATAGACTGGTTACCTGTCCAGGGTGTCCCCTGCCTTCGCCCTAAGTCGACTGGGATAGGCTCCAGCCCCCCCGCGACCCTAATGAGGATTAAGCGGTGTATAGAAAATGGATGGATGGATGTCTGGAGCTGCAAGGTGGTTCAGTGGTTAGCACCATTGCCTCGCAGCAAGAAGGTTGCCGGTTCGCATCCCGGTGAGGACGCCCGGAATCCTTCTGTGTGGAGTTTGCATGTTCTCCCCGTGCAGCGTGGATTCTCTCCGGGTTCTCCGGCTTCCTCCCACACAGTGAACCTGCCTTCACCCTGAGTCAGCTGGGATAGACTCCAGCCCCCCACGACCCTAGTGAGGATTAAGCGGTGTGTAGATAATGGATGGATGTGTATGTTTGACTGTTCCAAATATTTGGTACTGGCCTCCTCGATAACTAACAATTGATATCAGCCAGAATGGGGAAGCTGTCATAAATATGACAATATATACCTGAAGATTCTTTTCCATGGGAGGAAACGTGTGAATTTGTTTTGATGTTTGTGTTTGGTTTGACCAAAATCCCTCGAGCACCAACACAATCTCCTCCATGCACCTCCGCTATCCATTACCTTTGATCCCAGGATCAAGCTACATCCCCGTGGCTTTTTGTGTCAGATGATCCTCTTCTGTTTTCAGTTAACCATGCTGGTTTTAGGTACACAGACCGATTCCACTGACCGCCTCACTGAGGTAGCAGAAATAATATACACAGCAAATATTTACCCTGCCTTCACTGTGAAACACATGACGGTAGCTGAGCTGTGTATCTGGAAAGTCATATTTGGAGAAGACTATCAACAATGTTTGCAGCTCCTTTTTTTTCGTATAAAGCAAATTTTAAAAACTCAGCTGTATTTCTTAAAATATATGTTGAATATTTGTTATTTATTATATCAGGAAATGCCTTTAAAAAAACATGCTCTGTAACCTAAAATCAAGATAATGCCCCGAGATCAACCTGAAAAAGCAGCAAAAGGATCTACTGGGTTTTTTTTTTATCAGTTACCCTATTGAATTTCATAGCCTGGTAGGCAGAAGTTATTTTCTGGTAGCGTAATTCCATCTGTTCATGGTTTCCTTATCTGAACTTTAATCTCAAGGACTGTGGGGCATTTTTCAAGTGAGCTCATCTTTTTTGTGTCTCTGCGTAGGTGGAGGAGATGGTGGATGTCGGGACTTTTGCCGAAGAGGACATCCACATACCCAGCATCTACGTCCACAGGATTGTCCAGGGAGCCAGCTACGAGAAAAGGATCGAGGTACAAAGCAAGAGCTTGCACGAGAGAGGAGCTCATACATGAAAGACATGAAATAGAATGCCATATCCGTTTTTCTATATTATCTGCATTATGTCACTGTGGGTGTCACTGTGATGAAAAACTGATTCCAATAAGGAATTATTTATTCATAAGTATTAATAAATGATTAAAAGCAGTACATGGTTAATCCTGTAACAATAGACGTGTAGAGTTGAAGCCTTTCTGACACATACCGTCTTTTATGTGCTTTTGCGTTTGGCCAGAATCGTCTTCTCAGAACACTTTCTCCATGTTCCTTACAAATCTTTCTATGATTCCAGAAACGCACGGTAAAGAAAAGCCAAGCAGACAAGCCCAAACCAAAGAAGGATTCAGACATCGTTCGGGAAAGGATCATTCGCAGGGCTGCTCTGGAGTTTGAGGATGGAATGTATGGTATCCTTTGGCAAGAATATAAGCAGCGAGCAAATAACAGAACGACGTAAACGTGTGCTCTAGCTGCCTCCTTTTAATTACCACAAGTCAAACCAACCCGAGCGTTGACCCACAGCCACAGGAGAAAGAACACTGCACCTTGGCTTTGGTTTTTAAACATGATTAATGAATAATTGTAGCCTTTGCACCAGTTGATTGCAGAGGCAAATTATGCACTTTTTTTTTTTTTTTGTAGTCTGTCCTTCCTGATGAAAGCAGGGTTAGATTTGAGTGGCTGATCTATGATTAACCACTCAGTGATGTTTTAATTTTCTTTTTTTTAACATTTCTTTATAATTCAGCTTGACTATTTCATATCTTGGAAATGTTAGAACGATGAAGTCCTGTGTGTCTGTTGAGTGTTGTCCACTCCACTAATGCTCTGGAGCTTTTCATACAACTGGTGCTCGTTTACTATGTGGGGTGAAGGCACTATGGTCTGCAGTAGATACTGTAAAAGCGTGTTTATCGTGATGCTGTATGCATTCTGTTCCTCTAAATACCTGATTTCATTCCATGAATACAAATGAAACCGTTCCTGTCTTTAACAAAGAGCAGCTAACCTTGGTATTGGCATCCCCATGCTGGCCAGCAACTTTATAAAACCCGACATCACGGTACACCTCCAGAGTGAAAATGGAATTCTGGGACTGGTAAGACACCAGAAAACCACAGCTTCTTTCCTCCTCAGGTTTCACAGCCTTGTCTCTTAACTACACGAGCTAACGAGCAGTGTACTTTTTTTTTGTACTATACGTAGACTGTTATTTTGAGCAGCAGTAACCGTCTTTAGCCACGTTGAGCTCTGAGCATGAGGCAAGATGAATAGCCATCCATTTGAGTGGTATCATTCCTAGTTGGGGCCCCTTATTTGAAATGTGTTGGGTTTGTTATGTAACAGATTGTGGCAGTTTGACACTTTTGCTTCCATTTTTCTTTCTCACAGTCATTATTTGCCGGCTGCGCCTTTTAACAAATGTTACCGCTGCAGCTATAGAGTCACTTTCCAGTCAGTTGTGTTGACAGAAGAACGTCGGCACCTATGCTAATCCCTCATCTTTCAAGTTTCTTTTAATTACGAGTGTCAGTTTTAAAGAGGTGCTGATCTCTCCTCTCCTTCTCCTCTCCTTCTCCTCTCCTTCTCCTCTCCTTCTCCTCTCCTCTCCTCTCCTCTCCTCTCCTCTCCTCTCCTCTCCATCCAGAAGGATTGCTCCCTTTGTTGAGCGCAGAGAAAATCAATGTCTCATCTAATCAGAGAAATGTGATTGTGTCTGTCTCTCCCTCGAAAGATCATGGCCAGTCAGGGCTGAGTGACATGTGTAAGTGTATGTGTGGCTGACCACCCGTGTGCGTCTTGTTAATCCTAATTTGTTTTTGTATAGGGGCCGTACCCCACGGAGGACGCAGTGGATGCAGACCTCATTAATGCCGGTGAGGTTCACCTGGATCGATACCTCCCAACCATAAATTTATGTGTAAACATATAAAAATTGCAAGACGTCTAAACATTAGTCGAACTAAATTATTGATGGATGACAAGACTACACATTTTTACAGATATTCTGCCTTTCACTGAACATACATGTTTAGATGATACAAGGCGTTTATTCTCTGGAATGATCAAACAAGTTCACATTTTAGTCAGACACATGTTTAAGCTTAATCATTGACATTTGACACCATTCAATCAATACTTAATCGATAAACCATTTTTATTCAGCCATTCATTTAATTGTATGTATTTTTTTGATGTCCTTTATCTTTCATTATGTTGATCTGTAAACTGTTTTGCCATGTGTTGTAAAATGTACTGCTATATTAAATAAATCCCTGGTCCACAGGGAAGGAGACTGTCACAGTGCTCCCCGGGGCTGCCTACTTCTCCAGTGATGAGTCATTTGCCATGATCCGAGGGTAAGGCCACAACACAAAAGCTCTGAAAGCTTATTTGCAGACTGAAAGTTATGTATGCCTGACATTTCTGGACTTAAATGTAAGTCCCTTAAAAATGATTTTCATAGCACCATGAGTCACTTCTATGGACTGCAGTTTCCACATAAAACAAAACAATAAACACACTTTAAGAATTTGCGGATTGACCTCCTCTTAAATCGATAGTTTCTCACCTGCACAAAGCCCTCTACAAACAGCACAGTGTAGTATAAACCGTATTTGACCACAGGACATTTGTAACACTGGATATGAACAAATAGCTGCTGTCACCAGTACAACCAGACGGCAGCCTCGCCAATATTCCTATGGTCTCTGGTCCTTATTGATTTGCCAGCTGACTGCGATTGGCCACCCGCACTTCCTGCAGCATCAGTTCTGTTTGTCCACCCAGTAGAAATTCAATAGAGCTCATAAATAGCGCTGTCCAGTCACATTGGCGGGGACCGAATGGAACCACAGTAAATTTGTCGGAGTGTGTCCGCTGTTGTGCAAACACAATTAAGTGTCCAGAGATGCTGAGAAAGAATCACGCGACATATGGCCTCAACTAGCACACTAGTCATATCATACTACATTTAGACTTCTTAGAGTTTGTGTTATGCGCTGCTACGTGAGGTTAAGATACTTTATGATTTGACTGTAGGTAGTAGGGCAGTAGTTTTTTTAATTTATGCATCTATACACATCCTGATGATGCCACTAGCTGCTCAAGATGCGTTATTGGACTTTATTCTCAGAGAGCAATTTCTTTTCTGGAATAAGAAGTTCAAATTATCACAGGCCAAATGAGATTATCATATAGCAGCAGAGATGTAAACACGGCTACTTTTAAAGACATTTGTTTGTGAAGGGAATGTGTCATATCACATATTATCAAGTGCTAAATATTTGTGTTCAAATTGTCTCTATAAATGTACCAGAACTATATGCTTTGTTTTATTTTATTTTTGATGAGTGGACTTGCGAGTTCAAAAGTTGAGCCGATCCTGAAGTTGACAGCTGTCTTCTTCTGTTGTGTCACTCTTTTCAGGGGTCACATCAACCTGACAATGCTTGGAGCCATGCAGGTGTCAAAACACGGAGATCTAGCCAACTGGATGATCCCAGTAAGTTTGGGTTGCGATGGCACACGTCTCTTGCCTTTTTCCAAATGCGTCCTGTCTGATCCACCTGCTGGGGTTCAACACCACATCAGCACAATAGGCACGCTTCAAATGCTGCTCCGTGGAGCCTATAATAATCTGTGTTGTTTTGTTTTTATTTAAAATTTCAGTTCTTTTTATTTATTTTCTACTTTGCAGCTGAAAGGTTTTTCATTCCGTCGGTGCTGTTACGTTGTTGGACTGCATGATGTTTTAGTTTTAACATACATGCTGTGTCCTTGTGTCTCCATAATTCTATATGTTTCACGTCTATTTACCTTTCATACAGCCAGCTTGACCAAATCAATAGCTCTAAATGTTGTAGTAGTTTATTACACTTTTAATGACTTATCACTTAAACATTTTGTTGTGTAGTTTAGTATCTATCCAGGTCTTCTTTCCTCTTCATTTATTACACATTTTTTCAGATGTATGCATTTTTCATTTCTCTTTATTCTTTATTTCGAACGATTAAAAATAGATGAAACAAATGGAAAAGAAAAATATAAAATAATAAGCCAGTTTCAACACAATACACATTTGACTTGTTCGAAAAGGGACAGGAAGAAGCCAAGGCTCGTCAAGTCCTACCCCCATTCTTTACCATTAACAAATGCAAAGTCCAAGACAATAAACTAAACAGGCAATACAAAAATAAAAACAAACAAACCCTACTCCAGTCGAGCTATTTAAGAAAAACAGAACAAAACAAAAACACACAAAAAAACCCAAAATGAACAAGCCATTAACATCTGTAAATTTTACATTCTCCTTCCTCATTTCTGTACTTTTCAAAGATAAATCTTTTGTGCATTTTTTAAATTGCATTTAATTGTTTCGTCAAGACCATTCCACAAAACCACCCCAAAAATGGAAATACACATACTTTTTAACACAATGTTGTTAACCCAACATTAAAATGATTATCTGGGTACGTTGATAAATATGCTAAAGTGATTAAATTAAATATAAAGGTAAAACTAAATTAAAGTAAGGTAGTTAAACAAAATAAACCTCCTTTTGTCAGGTCCCTTTGTCATCAATATAAATTAATTATATCGACTGAAATAAAACATTTTACTGTGATAAACTTCTCAGCTATATAACTCAGCCCTAATATATTTTAAAAATCTGATGTATTTGGCAATTTCCTCAAGCCAGACGTGACATCTTCAAATTTCTACTAACTTTTTTGTCACATAACTGAAACGGCAAGTTGTGTTTGCTCTTCCTGCCCAAAAGTTGAGTGGAATAGTTGTTGATAGTTAATCACTTTACTCTTAATATGTGGTTGTGTTGTCTACTGACTAACTCATGGCTATCCTTGCTTAGAGTCTTCATTTCAAAAGACCTTACATGTCAGTGGTCATTGGTGGGGAAAGTAGCAGTTGTAATATTTTTATTTCTCTACAGCCTCTTCAGATTTATTCTAATCTCTTCCTTACTTTATGCTCGGTGGGCTAACGAATTTCTCAAAAACAGGAAATGTCTCGGTTGGAACAGATTCACGGAGGTCTGGCTGCAGTCGAGAACATGGATATGCTTGTCAGGGGATTGAGGGGAAGAGGGTGTCTCCGAGCGCTACAGTATAATTGGTGGCCGACACTAGATATTTCATCAGGGCAATTGGTCTTAAAGCCACAGCGGCCCCAGTCCTCCTCCGTGATTACTGAGGTCAAGAACCCATTAAAAGCATGTCCGCAATAAGGGAAGGGCTCAACCAGAATGCCCCCTGGCACACAGCAGTTTTCTACTTGACTGAAGTACAAAGTTGTTTTAGCCGGTGCATCGTTTTATATACGCATATGAAGCCACAGAGCATTGAAGATGATCACGTGTATCATCATATAAAACATGTAAGGCAACTTGTCGAGGGGGATTTCTAAATTTTGCAGCTTATTTTCTTTTCCTTATGCTTCTCCACTTGTACTTGTTTGTTCATAGTAATTGCAATTAAGCCGGTGTTTGATTAAGCACGCTATGCGGATACTGAAGCCCGGCGGTTGGGCTCTTCAGAAGCGAGAGAGTTTATCTTGTCTGGCCATTTTGTTGTTGGACAGTCTGAACAGCAAAATAACGCAGCAACACAGGCACACATACCTCCGTCCTCACCTACGCCTCAATCTTCATTATCCCCTCTTTTGAAAGGATGGATGAAGAGAATTACATTTCCCACATTCTGTGATAATGAAAATTATTCACTATCTAAAGATGGGCGCATAGCGTGAAATTGGAAATGTTTTACGTAGGAGTTGGGGATGCAGTCCTCTCAGCATGATTATGTTGATTTTGAATGCTTTTAATATGCAAAATGCAGATGAACATTTTCCAGATGAGGGCTTTGAAACGCTTTTACATCTCCACTCAGCCTGAAACATCTGGAAAAACAATAGCGTCGGAGAAAAGGGGGTTCGTCGAATAAAGGATGTAGTGGTGCCATTTTTCTCATTTAGCTACTGGAGTTGTCCTAAATGTAAGGGGCACGCATCGTTTCAAAGGAGATGCACGCAGCGATGATTATTGTCTCACAGATTTCCAACAGCTCACGCACACAGCACTGTGACAATGAGAACCATATGTGACTTGTACTTACTTTTTTTTTTGATTTGAGGAGATTTCACTTCCTCCTTTACATCTGAGAGGAATAAACAAATACACAGTTATTGTGAATGAAGGAACACGGAGCATATACAAGCTGACCAACATGTATTTGGTCAATATATCAAGTGTAAATCAATTAAAGATAGTGGCATCTTTATATACTAACCTATTTTAAGATTGTGTTTCCAGTTTTGATTGTCTGGCTCAGACTTGGGTCCACTGGAGGTACCAGTGGAGTTAAGTTGCACATTAACACACCGTTAGGTTTTTTGTGCATTTTTATATTTTGGACTCAATTCTAGCAATCACCAGATATACTAGGTGTGAAGTTTGATTGATATAGTTGATATTAAGCAGCTGAAACAATTGTTTTAATGTGTTTGAGAACATCAGAAGCTTTAGATAACAGAGTTGCATAATTTATTTATAAGTTTGGGTTTGAAGAATGTTTTAAGTTGCAGCAGCTTGATATTGTACTTCTAAGGGAAAGCGCACAAATTAGATTTATTAAAAACTGTTTATGGTTTGTTTTGCCAAGGAAGGAAGATCTATTCAGTTAAGAATTGGCATGTTGGCTCCTA